CAATGGAATCTGGACTGGATCTAATTGACAAATACACTAAAACCTGCAGGGTACTGTGGGCACTACAGGCTTGGAGAACCGAGATGTGAAAGAGTTGGTTTTATTTCCCCTCAGACTTAGAAGATGAGGTATTGGCAATGAAAGGGAAAAGTATTCCAGGAAAAGACTAGTGAGCAACTGGAGTGCCAGGTGAGTTCCAGGGTTTGAAGTAGGCAGCCATAGCTGGAAGATAGCAGCAGGAAGGCGCCAGACTGCAGATCAGGATTCCCAGGTTAGATCCTGCAGCTCTGGGAGGCCACAGTAAGGAATCTAAACCTCATCCTGTTGGCATGAGAACCATTCAGAACTACATACAATGAAGAGGGATGATTCATATAGCACTAGTTATTTGTTGGCCTAGCAGAAGGTACTGACTCCAGGCTGGAGCTCTATTCAGAACCCCAGACTCCAGAAGATGGAAAGTTGTAAACTCAAGAAAATTAACAAAGAAAGCAGAAGACAGAGGTGGGGTGGTGGAGAGGTTACAATGGCTTCCTAGCAAGCAGAAGGCATCTTATGTCTCCTTGCCTGCTACCAGGCCTGTAGGGGCATTCTTTATTTTGTTTTAATGTAACTAGACAAAACTAGAAAAATGAAAATCACATTTATCTTTTCTTTTGAACCATTCTTAGCAATCCACAGTTGTAAAGTTATTGTTTCCTTATTTCTAGATAGTAGTATTAACAGCACAATTGCTTTCCAAATCAAAATATTCTGCTTCCTCTAGAAGGCAAATATCATTGTAAAAGAGAGAAAATTTAATTTAAAAAAAGTAATAATTTCAATCTTAATGTCCTGCTATATAGTAATATGACAGCATGCTTTTGCAACATTTATCCCTTCCATTGTATTTGCAAAGTTTTATGGTGTTATACACCACTGAGCCACCGGGATCCACAGAAATAATAGAGACCTTGCCAAAGCACCTGGAGGTGGTATCAACAGACAAACCTCATTTGTCAGTCCCGCTCAGAGGATGTCCTAGCTTCAGAGGTCCAGCTYCCCCCCCTAAGACCATTCTCCTTCTGCCCAAACCATGTCCGTTGACTGGTGGTACAGGCATATAAAGGTGCAGCCTTCTCTCCCTGACCCCCATTCCAGACAAATCTAAAGGGCCATCTCATCATAATTCCCCACTATAAGGTTGTCTGAGGCATCTCATCATCTGCATTTCAACTCAGTTTCTCCCCTTGCTCATCTCTCACTTCCCTTCCACAGATGTCAGTCCCAAGAACACTCCTGAAAAGGAGATAGGATTTCAGTCCTCTTTGGCCCACAAAGACAAGAAGCAGGAAATTTTGCCCACAGGTGTCAGTCCCAAGAACACTCCTGAAAAGGAGATAGGATTTCAGTCCTCTTTGGCCCACAAAGACAAGAAGCAAGAAATTTTGCCAAGCCAAAGGACAGGGTTTAAAGATGTTTTGCAGGCATTTTACTAGAGGGAAGTGGGACAGAAATTACAAGCAATAGATCCTGAGGACTTGGCTACAGATATGTGTGTGCCTCAAATTCTTGCTTGGTAGTAGCAACTTAAAACTATTTCATACACTATTTATTCTCTCCTCTTCTTGCTTTGTTCCTTCATTCCTTCCATCTCAATTTTTTTCTAACCCCTGATTACATGTGCAACCATGAGCAAGCCTACTGTAATCTAAGAAACACTGAAAGGCCTCTGTGGCCTAGTCATAATTCTCCAACTGACTGACATACCTTCTACTCCACACAAAATTTCACCACTAAAGCCATCCTTTGGGTTAACTCAACAGTCAGGAGCATGAAGCTCCTATTCAGATACATGTATGTTACGTGGGGGGAAAGGCTTGGAAAGTTTTGCCTATTTTGCTAATTAGTCTTTGCTTATTTTAGAGTTTTCTTTTTTTTCTGATTTATTCAGGAAGAAATGACTAGAAACTGATGCAAAGTCAGCTGAAAGGAGGTAACAAATAGAACAGGTAAGTTTCAATGAGATTGGAACGCACAGGTTGTCAGGAGATTTAGGTTTTCTAGGGAGATTCTCTTCCAGCGATGTGTGATAGTGTGATAAATACCAAATACCCAAATGAAAGGCACTGCCTAAATTCTGGGTACCTTGTATAATTCCTCTGCTTCCTTCTCAATTTTACCCACTGACTTACCAAGAAACTCTCACCTGTCTACTCTTCCTATGCTGTCTGACTCAACCTTTGAGTTACATTTTTTATGTTTATATGGCCTATATTGTGGACAAATTCCTTCCTTTTAGAATGCCCTTTTTCCTTGGCCTRTGGCACTCTCTTGTCTCAGGCTTCCTTCCTTCCCCTGAAGCTCCTCAGACATTACTTGCTCCTCCTTTTCTGAACTCTATTCTGTTGCTCCTGTTCTCATTTTACACATTTCTTGATAAGAAGTAGTGAGTTTCTGAACAAGTACAGCAGCAGTAGGGATGAAGACTAGGTAAGATGTGAAGAATACTAACAGAGGATTTCAACTCATTCAGATCAAACATGGGGAAAGGGAGTGGTTCTTGAAACGCCCTCTTCCAGTGTACCTCTCTGTCTAAGTGAGAGGTCACAGAGCACTCTGATAGTAATACCTCTGCCTACATTTGCCCTTATTCCATGAGCAGGCAACAGTGACTGCAGATTTACTTGTTTGTCTCTCTAGCCGAACTATTAATTCTTGAGTATAGGAAGCCTCTGGTAACTCCTTGTAGTAGCAATAAACTGTTACTGAGTAAATAAAGCAATAGTGTTCATAAAATGTGCAGGCAATAATGTGTCAAAATCCATGTGAGTGTGTGTGTGTGTGTGTGTGTGTGTGTGTGTGTGTGTGTGGAGAGAGAGAGAGGGAGAGGGAGAGGGAGAGAGAGGGAAGAAAGAAGAGAGGAAAGAGGAGAGAGGGATAAAGAAAGGGGGGAGCTTCTCCATTATTTCAAAGTTCCAATAATACCTCACTGACTATGTGGAAAGTGAAGATGCTTCTTCAACTTCTTTGAGATTCTTCTTTACTTAAAGTCATTAACGCACTATTTAGCAAGTACTGTTTATGTAATTGTGACTTTTAAGCAAATCCTGAAGGCTGGGGTCATTATGTCTTATAGATTTTGATATCTAATATATTATGTAGCATAGTGTAGCTGCTCAGTAAATAATGGGTTGCTAAATGGATTAGTTACTCCTGAACATAGATCCTCTGCTCSATCCAGTGAGTGGACTGCACCTTGTCTCTTGAAGTGCCCCTCCCTCTTCCCCTCCTTTTCACATCCTACCAGTCAGCCACCCTGCTCAAACCTTCCTTCCCATCCTATAATTGATAATGTCCATAAACTCCTGAAGCATATTTGTACTTATTCACATAGCATGTTTTTCAATGTCACCCAATCATATGTTACAAATGCCATATGACTTCAGCTAACATATAAGTCTCTGAAGGGCAGAGAATGTGTATTTTAAATCTATCTCTCCCTCTACTGTTCCTTTTACACTGCTTTATATAAAAGCCTCTCAAAAATATAAAATGAACTGGCTTCAGTTCTTAAATACTCAGTTGAAAATACTTCACATTTTAATGTCATCAAAGTAATGAGAACCATTCTTCCAGAGTTAGAATAACATACTTCAGGGATCTAAAATCTTGAATCTGGAATATCTTCCTAATAAGAAAAATGTTCAGGTTTCTGGRGTAGAGGCTGGGGAGGAAGAGTTAGCTACTAATTTACCCCTATAGTTTCTGTGTTTGTTTAAATTACTGCAACACCTTTGTCATAACAATAAAGACATTCTTTTCAGGTTAATGCCATATTTCCTCCAAATCCAAATGTAATAGATATTACCATTTTTTCCTAAATGGACAATTATGACAATTACAGTTTGTATGTCCAGGATGCTTCATTTTTATGTATATATCCCTGCATTGATGTCTGTTGAAATGCTAGATACAAAGTAGTAGAACAATTAAAAAGAAAATGTGCTCCCCTCCCCACAACCCCATGGGTCACATTCCTACACTAAGAAAGCTACAAACCTATCCTCTAGGAAAGGGAAATCAGAATTCCTAAAACTGAGGGGCCACCTCATATCAGAATTATGATCTGCCAAGCTCTGTAGATGTCAAATCTTTCCCTACAACCTGGCTCCTATCTCTTCAATTGTCTGAAAAACACCTCAGAGAGTGGTGACCCAAGTCCCAAAACGACAATGCTATTTCCGGGTAACAGGTTTTTTCGGTCAGTTATGATCACGAATCAGCATCAACCAAAGAGGAGCATTTTCTAGTTGGGCGTGTTAAATACTCTCAGCCCCAACCCCAAACCAGGAAGTGCTGTTTAAGATGAGTCCAAGACAAAAGCAATCCAGCCTCAGATGGAAAAAAAAAAAAAAAAAGCAGCGCACCCAAACCACACTAGATTCCAGACAGGATGTAAGGGTTTAAATCTGGGACAGTTCTTGGATCTGGATTACAACCTACAGCTTGTCCATACAACATTATTAAACTTTGAAAACTGCCAATACAAAGTGAAAGGACCTAACACATACACAGATGTGTGCACACATCTACGCATGCAGAACAATTTATTTTTGTGATCTGCTTCCTTATCTAGACAGTCCAGACTTGGGCCAGATTCGTAAACACAGATAACCGCGACAGATTGCAGAAAAAGTGCCAAACTTTCAAGATTGTTAGGGAGGAGGGTCGAGGAGCAGACTGGCTACGCCCGGGTCCCGTTCTCCCGTAGCACAACTGCACGTTGCGTCTGGGCAAGTCAAAGGAGGAACACTGCAACCTCCGGCTCCCCCTCTTTCTGACCCACGGGGCACCAAGCAGTCTAAGAACACAGGGAGGATCACTAAGTGACGATTCTGGGTGGAGGGTATTAAATTTCAGGCCAAGAGCCCGGGACAACTACAACTGGGGCGCGCCTGTAGCGGGCAGGAAGGGGAGGGCCCAGCAGGGCAAGGGGGAGCCCGGGCGCGGGCTTGGGGCTGGGTCGGAAAAGCTGCCTCACGGGCACACTCGCCGGCCCCTCTGCTCCCTCCTCCCCCTCCCTGCCAAAGTTCGCCGCCCGTCCGAGCCTCCCTTCAGTCCCTGCTGAGCCTTCCCAGAGGCTGCGCCTGCAGTAGCCTCGCCATGTCCCAGCCGCGCCAGAAGCCTGCTGCCTCTCCGAGGCCTCGGCGCGCCGCGGCAGCCCGCCACACCCAGGAGGTGAGTGGCGCTCCTGTTCCAGCATTAGGGCTGGGCGACGCACGGACCTGCTCCGGGAATCCTGGTTCCCCTTGGGCGTCACCAGGCCTGCCCCACCTAGCCCCTTCTACTGCAGGGAAAGGGCTCGGGGTTCCAGTGTCCTTCCCGGGACTGGTGGAGAACTATGGCTGGACATTCCTGGGCCTGGGTCAAGTGCGTTGGGCGTGGCGCCGGCCGGGTAGAGGGGCGCGCAGAAAAAAGTTGGCTTATGAGACACTGGTGAAATGATAACGGAGTGAAGGGAGAATAAAATTCACTCAGGACCCTCCAAAGTGAGTGTGGTGGTTTCATCTGAAGGCAGGACCCTGTCTTCTGAGTGAAGTCCCGGTCGCAGGGCGTGGCTCCTGAAGAAATAACACCTCTTCCCTAACTAGCCCGAAGCCAAGTCGGGGGTGGGGCTAGACTGGTGGGGGCGGGACCCAACACCCCTCCCTCGGGGGTACGCCCACCTGGCAGCTGCTAGGCCCGCGACAGCTCAGTGCAGGTCAGGTGCCAGCCAGGTCCTAGCCAGGCTGAGTGTGATCCGGAAGCCCCCAGCACCGCACCCTGAGCGCTCGCTGGGTAATCCGTGGTGCCGCTCGGAAAGAATAGGTTGTCGCCATGGCATTCGCAAGCTGGTGGTACAAGACGGTAAATAGAAGCGGCCGTGCCTGGGCTGGACTGGGAAGGGAGAGTGCTTACTTTGCTTAGCTCTTGTGAGCTTGCCAACGAAATATTATCCGAAGTTTGGGTGGGAAGGGGTGAGGATCGAGTGTAACCTGGTCTCAAACCTTTGGGTTAGGTTCGGGGAGAGGCTGGAGGCTCACCCTCCTGTGGTATGTGAGCAGGAGCGCAGCCGTGAGAGTCGGTGCGAGCAGATGCCCCAAGCTCAGCTGGGTGCTCACAAGTTGAATGGAACTGGAGTTACTGCAGGAGGAATCCCGCCCCTGGAGGCGCATTCCTGGATGAACTCTGAGGCAGATCGCTAGAGAACCTAGGGCTGTTTTCTATCCTTAAGTAAGACACAATATTTGTAAAGAAAAGTTGTGTTGACAGTGCAATCTCAATCGCATAGAGAGGCGGGGTGGGGGGCGGGAGGACAGAACAAAACCCGAAACACCGAGACATAGAAGCAAGTGATACCAAGATTGATGAGAGGAGGGAAAGAGAGATCCAGGGATTGCTGCTCTGTACTTAAATACCTTGGATGAGTGACAAACATGTTCCGTTTGTGTAGTGCATTGAATGTGTCTACCTTACAGATTAAGTGTGATAGCCAGTCAAGCTGGCACTTGTAATGTTTTGAAACCTGGAAGCAAAATTTAACATTAAATTGCTTTACAAATCCACACGCAGCGCGCGCGCACACACACGTTTTGTTGACAGGGAGAGCCTCAAAATATTTATGTTCCACTAATTTATGGTGAGAATTCCAACATATTAGGATACTTCCCTCTCAGCATGTGTATTGGGAGAAGCAAAGATGTAGTTTATCATGCATTCTTTGAAGCCAAAAAGCTCCTATTGGAATTCAAAAGATGTTACTTTTCAGGTAATGAGCATTTATGAGCTTCTCTTCTGTGGCAGGCAAGGTATTAGCCTCCAAATACACAGTGGAGAACAACACAGAGTTGTTCTTGTATGGTAATGATTTAACTTTTTTATCCTGTTTCCACATCTGGAGGAGAGGAATGATATGCACTACATAAGGGTTGGTGCCTAACCAGATTAATAAATCAAGATGTCATATACTTAAACTTTTACTGACAGAGAACTCAAATTTCTCTTGAGGTATTTCTTCATGAATATTTTCTATTACATTTTATGTGCATTTCAAAGGAAGCATTTTATTGATGTATTAGGGGCAATTTGTATTGAGTCAATATTTATTGTCCTAAGATTTTCATCAAAATGTACCTGGTAAATTATCTGCAAATATGGATGGTAGGTGCTCTGAGTTGGCATCAAACTTCTTCCAAACTCATGATTCTCTGAAAGAAATTATGCTSGGCTACTTTGATGAAAATGGTTTAAACCTATTCCTTTAACACTTTTATGTTTAGACACAGTCTGACAGTTTTGCTAAAACTTTTCTTAGAATCCAGTTTAGGAGCTATTATAAAATACTGTTTTCTGGTAGAAATCTCCTAGAATCAGCAACACACCTGTGACTGAGGTTTAACTTTTCCTAAGTCAGTTCTAATCAATACAAATATAGTATGAACTACACATGAAATTTTTAATTTTCTAGTAGCCAAGTTAACAAAAGCAAAAAGAAGCAGAGGTGAAATCAGTGGTAATAATATATTTTATTAATATATTTTATTAAGTTAATATATTTAATATATTTTATATTTAGTTAATCCACTATACTCCAGATGTTATTTTAACTTGCAATCAATGTGCAAACCATTGAGATAGTTTAAATTCTCTTTTTCACATTAATTCTTCAAAATCCAGTGTGTATGTTACACTTACAGCACATCCAGTGCACATCTGCCACATTTCAAATGGCTAGTGGCTATAGTATTGTATAATAAAGCTCTATGCCATGGGTGTTTTTTTTTTTTTTAAATGGCATTGGGTGAGTGAGCACAGGCCATTTTGAGAATCAATGAGGTTATGTATTATTTTCTCACAACAAAATACACAGATACAAAAATACAGTTATCTATATTGCTTGAAGGAATTCAGAGATTTTTCCAAAGGCCCACTCATAAATCCCCCAAAGGTTCATGAAGCCAATTTATAACATATATACACATTGTACAATCTATTGTATGTAATATATATGCATTTTATACATGAAACACATGTGCATAATACATGTATAAAGAGATTTTATAGACATTTGGATAGACAGATAAAGGTATATAGGCAACTCTCCAACCACAGATCAAAAATATTTGAAAAAAATTGAACTTAATGTATACATTTTTCTTATCATTATTCCCTAAAAATAGAGAAGTAAAACTACTTATATAGCCTTTATATTAGATTAATAACATAAGAAATCTAGAGATAATCAAAAGTATGTGAGAGGATTTTATAGGTAATTTTAAAATATTCTGCAATTTTATGTGAGGGACTTAAGCATCTGCAGATTTTGGTGTCTGAAGAAGTCCTGGTGGAACCTATACCCCACAGATGACTGTGTGTGTGTGTGTGTGTGTGTGTGTGTGTACAACTCAGAATACTTTTGGCAAATTCTGTCTAAAGACATTAAAATATCTTTATTGGGATCCTTTAAATACTTGAAAAGATTGCAAATGAACTAACTTCCACACAAAATTTAGGCAAAAAAAAAATGATTAAAAGATGTACCTAAGATGAGTTTCTTTAATAGCATTCTGCCTGTACAGCTAGTCTGTTATATTTCCACATAGAATACCCTCTATTGATCTTATCTTTGAAAGAATTTTGTGATTATAGTAAAAATAAACCCACAACATTTTTAAAAACTACATTTGAAGAACATCTGATGAGCACTGTAATGATCAAGCATGAAGAAGAGTAAATGTGACTTACACCAGTACTAATCAGATTCCTGAGTCATAAGTTGATTCTATTAGCCTATGCTAATTAAAGGTGTTTCTTAGCCTAATTAGACCCATGGACTCAGTGACAGCATGGTCAAGGAACCTAGTTATTTATTATTGCAGTCAGTCTAAGAAGWGTGTCATAGGCCTTCCATGGCATGATAGACCATTTGGATGCAATTCAGTTTAGAAGTAAGGAAGGCAGAAGATAGAGTCTGCATAAAGATCACAGACTTTAGGGCAGTGGGAATGCAGAGATAAAATAAAACTTTCCTTTTTGGGCTGGCAATCTCCAAATAGTTGCTTTCCATTGCACACCAGTCTTTTAAACCACCTGATAATATTATTCTTTAATCAATGTTGATACTTCCTAGAAAGTTAATTATATTATGCAAGAGCTTCTTAAAGAGTGATGTAGCTCCCTGGGGGTGGAAACAGTGGGTGGGCATTTGAGATTCCAAAGTAGATGGGTGGGTAATTAGTTCTGGGTAGCCTATCTCCTCATCTTTAAGCAGACCATCTTTATTTCTCTCTTTGGACATCTTTAAGATGGTATGAAACTTAAATTTGTAATTCCCATTATATATATATATATATATATATATATATATATATATTTATATATATATAAATATATATATATTTATATATATATAAAAGTTCTGTTCCTCAAGTTGTCTCATTTTCTTTTTATGAAAACTTGCATAGAAAGCTTTGCCATAAAGAAAAAAAAATAAAAAGATAACAGATATCTTTCATTTAAGAAAATTGAAAAAACAGTTCCATTCAGTGAACACTACTTACAGAAGTCACCTCCTCAGATGGAAGAGTCAATTAACATAGAAGGAAAAATGGTCTATGGCTAGAGTTTCCTAAAAATGTGTGTAATTCAGTTTTACAATAGAAAACTCGTGAACCCAAGAGTGAAAAGCTGAAGGTCATAGATGTTCATGGTTGGTTGTTTATTGTCTATACTATGTGTCAGGTTCTGTGCAGAGTACAATAGATATCCAGCAGATAGATCCTAAAAGCTAAACTGGCAGTTAAGTAATCAATGCTACCTCTAAAAACTGAACAAAAGAATATGTGCTTTTACAGTGCCATCTTTGCATGTTCACCAGAATTTTAATGTCCATCAGAATCTCCATATGTAATATGGAGGTGTGAGACTAATATAATACACTGTCATGAAATAAACACAATACTAAAATGTTAGGAGAAAGCATGCTTGGGTTTCAAATAGAGATTTCATTTATAGTCATGCAGTTAATCCTGAATATGTATATTCTTTATATGGGTATTAAAAAGAAAGTTATTTCTTTAATGTTATAATTTAATAACATTTTTAGATGAATATAAAGGTATCATATACTAAAAACCTGGCCTTTAATTTTCTTACATTTCTTTAACATTACATTCCCACAACACTGAGCTCATAGTGGT